GAAAGATTTTAGCCATTGTATTCATTTCCAGTGAATTTTATATTTTACTTCTTTTCCTGAAAATATTGTATTAGGCAGGCACTCCCATATAATGTCTCTTAGGAATGTTCATTTGTGACGCTTATCTTGTTCTTGCTCTCAACATTGAATAAGAAACTATGTTGTTTGGTTTAGAATTTTTTAAATGCCCTTTATGAGATTACCACAGCTCCCTGATAGTCCTAATTTAGTAAGAATTTCTTGACACTTATTTGTAAATCATGGAAAGTTGATTATATGTATTCCTCATTTATTTTGATTAATTCTCTTTTGTAGAGATTAGCACACTGAATTATATTGAATTATATTGTATAAGCCAAATTTGGACATGATAGAAGCTCCTTAAAATATACCTCAATTTACAATAGGACATGTGAATTTAATTTAAGAAGTAAAATGCTGTGTAAAGTCTGTGTCTAGTAAAAGCACTGCCAGGCCTATATGTAACAAATGCGAATTACTCTCAAAAATGAATTGATAATCCCAATTTTCATTCTTCTCTGAAGAAGCTTGAATAAATCAATACTACTATGCTATTAAATGCTTACCAGTTCTCCCAGGGCTAATATTTATTAGCATCAAATTGATGTGAAAATGTTACACTACAAGTCACAGATACGGTATTATGGAGTTTTTTTTCATTTTGTCTTGGGACATTTCTGCCAACTGTTATCCTGTGAACTTGTAACTATCATCTAAATTTTCACATAGACAATGGTGAAATAATTTATATTCTATTATCATATGAGATATTTTCTATAATCTACACAAATGATGCCTTTTCCTGGATTGTTATTTTATCATTTTGCAATTGTTCTCTTCTTGATCCCATTAAGGACTATCTATTTTAATTTTGTTACTCTAATGAACTTTAGCATTTTCTCTATTTTTTATTATTTTATTTTCTTAAGTTACCTGTCCTACATTTTTTACTTTACTTTTTTGCAGCACAAGTGATTGAACCCAGAACCTTCTCACTGAGCAACCTATTCAGGTTTTCATTTGTTTTCATGCATTATTTATTTTTCAGACAGGCTCTTTGTAAGTCATGAAGTTGCCTGGACTATGCTCAAACTTATGATGCTCCTGCATACTCCTATGACTCTGTATTCAATTAGCTCTTCATTTATTCTAGTTTATAATGAATATTGAAATTCAGAACTTCAAGCTTCCTCTATCCAAACATATGTAATTCTGTGTCTGTGAAAATAGTATTGGCTTTAAGCCACAATACTTAATAGGCAATATTTTAAATTTTAGGCCATTTGTCATTGATTTAATAAAAACTACAAACTACAGAGTAAGAAAAATGTTTTATTTGAACCAAAATTTGGTTGTTTTCCTTAGGTGTACACAGAAGATAAAACACAACATACCATCTTATCTTTTCAAGAAATATATGTATACATTGACTACATGTAATACAATACTGCCAATATCTAATTTCACAACAAATTGAAATCATACCACATATCATGTAAAATAATCTACATGTCACTCACAAAACACCAAATTAGAACATGTCACCATTTAGTATCATAACTTCAAGTACTACCAAACTGATAACTGCTATATGCAAGAATCTTCCGTACTGGCTTTCTGTACCTTTTCTACACTACATTCTAACTTTCTTCACCACATTTTCTGTGTTTCTAATTATTAACAGTGAATCTGCTTTTAGGTTCATGGAATACAACTTGGGAATCTGTCACTTTTACCACTTCTGCCTATCCTAACAAGAATACATTCCAGCCCTCAATACAAATGCTACTGCCACTGTGAGGAAATTTTTTTCAGTCAATTATGCTATTAAAATATGGTATTTACAGCAGTAATAACTGATGTTAACTTCTTTCTTATAGTGTGTTGGTCATTCCAACCTATAGTCAACATCTTTTCAATTTGAAATTTATTCTGGATAAATTTTGTTTTGTCCTAGCAAAATTGGTATTCTTCCTATTTTTTCTGACTCTGATTATACTATCTACTTTTAACTTGTCTTCCCTTTGGCTTTCTCAATATTATTTTTCTAATTATTGAAAAAAATTTTCCTGTACATCACTGTGTTTCTGAATCCTTTTGATATATTTTATTGTTCTTTTTTTCTTTTGAAGTAGTATACTGCTTTCAATATGCTGGTCATACTACATTTCAGTAGTTGTTTGTATCTTTGTCTTCTCACATTTCTCTTTTGTGCTATAAATGACACTTTTTGGGAAGCATTTCTGACTCACATGGCCTTTAGAATTGTAGAATTGGGCTCCTTTGTCCCAGCCCGGTGGGGGATGGGAGGGTGGGGAGGGAGGGGTTCCGAGCCCCGCCCCCACCCCGCCATACCCTCTCCTTCTGTGACACTGCCCCTGTCTCTAGGCAACCCCTGCAGTGGGGGCTCAACAAAGTGGCCTGGAAGCACTCAGCTGGCCCACTGGTCTCCTGCGGAGTCCTAGACCCTCAGAAGCTGAGAGCCATGGTCCTGCCTTTGCTGCCGGGCTATAGCTTCAACCGCAATGTGGGAAAGGAGAAGTTTCATAAATCCCAACACTGGGGCTTTTGCAACAGTGTTAGGATGCTGGTGAGTGAAGAGAAGCCTGGAATAGGTGGAGAACCACTTATTGGGCAAAAAGTGAAGACTAAATATAGCATATATCCGAAAGGAGAAGGAACTGATAGACCGTCTTGGTTAGCTTTTGATAGACAGATTCTATGTTTTGATGCCTATTTGGAAGACAGAGTGTGTGATAAAAGCCAAGAAATATGTAGAATCAGATTCTATAAAATCTACTTCTACCTTGAAGATGATACAATCAAAGTACATGAACCTCAAGTGAAAAACAGCGGACTGCCTAAAGGGACTTTTATTCGGCGTCATCGGATTTCTCTCCCCCCTCCAAATGATGATCAGTTTTATACTGTGTATGATTTCAATATCAACATTGACATCATCTTCCTTGGCTGGACATTCAAGATTTATGATTGTGATAAATTCACAAAATTTTTTTTGAGAAAAATAGGAGTAAAATTAAATCCCCCAGGACAGCGTCCACAAGATCTGTATTTGAAGATGCGGAAAGAGACATTGGAGCGTGCGGAGCCTCTTCGTCCCTATGAATCCACTGACACCCGGAGACAGTTTTTGGAGTACGATAGGAAAGTTTTGCGTTTCTTCTGCCTGTGGGATGACTCAGGCTCATTGTTTGGGGAACGTAGAGAACTCGTCCTGCATTACTTCTTGTCTGATGATACTGTTGAAATCAAAGAAATATTGCCAGAGAACTCAGGCCGGGATGCTAAGTTGCTCTTCCTCCGGAGGAGTAAACTACCCAAGTATGGCCCACCTAGACTCCATCAGCCAGGCCAGATAACAGATCGTTCATTTCTCAATTTTGATGGCTTGTCCAGCAAGCAGAAGTACAGTTACATGTTGGATAAGTACAAGCTGGGAAAAATAGACCAAGCATTTTACAAGGATAGTGACCTGTTTTTAGGAGCCACCATCAATGTGGGGGGAAGGAAAGTGATCCTCTGTGACTGTGATGAATTTACAAAGTCTTATTATAAGACTAAATATGGAATCGAGAACTTTACCCCCCTTTCATACAAGCCTCGTCCTCCTCCAAAAATAGAAAGGAAATTTCCACCTTACACTGGCTTTGGGTCTGAGGAGGATTCTCTCCGTTCCTGTCTGTCCCTCAAGCCTGTGCCTTACCAGAAGAAGTTCTCAAGAGAAGGCAGCTATGGTAACATAGGCAATGTACTCCGTTTTTTTGCAAGACTAATCACACCCCCATGTGCTGATGCAGACAGGAAGTTCATTATTTCATACTTTCTCAAGGATGGCACACTTTCGGTGTTTGAACTGATAGAGAGGAATTCAGGCTACACTGGTGGGCTGTTCCTGAAAAGAAGTCGTGTGAAGAAGTTTGGGCAAGAAGTCTTTAAAAGTGAGCTTCCAGAATATATCAACGTCGAGGACCTGTATGTTGGAGCCAAAGTGAATGTGAACGGCAACCTGTTTGCGTTGCTCAGTGCTGATGAGTACACCTTAAACTACATGGAGAAGAACGTAGACAGGTTCCCATTTAGTAATATTGAACTCACGCTACAAAAGCTGAAAGAAGAGGAATCAAAATCAAGAGAGATCAAGCAGGTATTTTCAGCTGCTGACTGTAACCACACGAAGATGGTGGATTTTAATACATTCAGAGACCTGTTGTTGGATATAACTGTCAATAAGCTCACCGACCAGGAGATTTTAACCATTGCACGTCACTACCGTGTCCCTGAGGACATGGGTTCAGATAGGAATCTCTTAATTGCACAGGCCCAAGAAAAGCTCAAGAAAAATATGTTTGAGCATTTTGACAGACTCATTTCTAGCTGTGTGTATGAAGATCGGAAAAAAAAAAATGTATTGCCCAATAGAGACATCAAAAGGCTCTGCAAGTCCCACAGGTTTCCTTTGACTGATGATCTTCTGGAAAACTTACTGGCCAGGTTTGAGGACAGTGAAGGACAAATAAATTATAAATCATTTTTCCTGGCCCTGAACTGGAGAATGAATCCAGTGTCGGAATTGGAAGCCCCGCATTATGTTAAAGAGAGAGGTGAAGATGTTTGTTTCGGGATGCCGTCACCTATTCCTGTGAAATTCATTCGTTACTTAGACCTTTTGAAGGATGTATATGGCTTAGACCAGGAGGGACCATGACAGTTTCGGTCAGCTTTCTTTAATTCACTGCTTTAATTTTGCCAAGTTTCTTTTAGTAGGTATAATTTAGTTAACAAAAAAGAAACAAGGATTGATATTGAATGGAAATCCATAAACCACAATTAATTTTCTTTTGTCACTTTAGTTTTTCAGAATATCATATATTGCTGATGTGATGTACCGATGCTATTAAAATGCAATTTTTCCTTGTATATCCTTTTATTGGAACTTTTTAGGTGTATAATATAATGACATTTATCATTGGAGATATGCACCTTTACATACTCTCTTGGTTCTTATTTTTTCCCCCTTCCCCTGCCCTCCCTTCAAGCCCTCCAGCCCTCCCTATTTACAAAGATTTTGTTTCCATTTCTTCATTTTCTCATATTAATTCCATTCCCTTCTTTCCTTTCCCCTAGCCCTCCCACTTCCCCTCCCCTTTGCTCCTTTTCTTCCTATTTCACATTATCTATTATATCTTTTAGTCCTTATTTACACTTTGTTTCTCCTACTAGAGAAACTATTCAGTATTTACACATGTGTGTCCTGTTTATTTCACTTAAGAGTATCGCCTCAGTGTGCATCCACTTAGCAATAAATGTCTATAATTTCTCTTTTAAAAAAAAAGAATTCTAATCATGTCTTTCACTCTGTTCACCCTGTCTTTATTTATCTGGGAGATTATTTCTGTTTTGAAATTTTCTAGAGCCTCATGCATCTGCTTTGTTACTTCCTGTGCTATCAGTTCAGGGTATCCAAGTGGTTGCTTATCAGACTTGCCCACCTCATTTCCCCCAGAATTTCCTTTTTGTGGCGTGGAAGCCTGGGTTTGTGCATTGCTTAAGTGTCTTCTTATTTTTGTTTCTGGTACTGTCCTTTGATTTAATTCCTGGGTTGATATTTCAAGATTGCTTAATGTAGGTAACTTTGTTGCTTGTGTTTAAAACCCTTGTGGAATGATTGCTTTTCAGAGGTGTCTTCCAGATATAGCTTGTGTTTGGGTTTTGAGACTAATGACTCTGAAGCTATTTTGTTTTTCTTATACCAGGAAGGAAAACTAATTAGATCAATCACAACATGTTAGCCCAAATGTCATAGTCAGCAATACCATAGCATCAAGCATAGCTTAGAAAATGACAATTTGTGGTAGTTATTCATCTGTCACTTTTAATTATATGAGTTAAATTAAAACCAAGGACCAATCTAACGTATGTTTATAATGAATAAGCTCTTCAATATAGCATCTTTCCCCTTCGGGGTGGGGAGTTAAAAGGAGTTGGGGAGGGAGGGACAGGTAGAAAGAACAGGTAAGATTAGCGGTGA